CGGCTGGCTACGGAATGTTGCTAAAATAACCGACCGGGCACCTGTCAAGAGTCTCGAGCCACAACTAGACTTACGTATTAACATGACCCCATATGAATGTGTGTCCATTCTTACAATTGTAAGCATTTTAGGGCATAGATACATGCGCACTCCAAACGAAAAGCTGCGTTTGGCGCCTACGGTGTCGCATCCCACGCAGCCGGGGAGGGTAGCTCTCATCGCTTGGAGCGACTCTGCTCGCTGCACAGCCCCCGTGATCGAGGAGAATGAAATCGAGGACTTGGTGTCCTGTCGCCAGGTGCCGAGACACAGCGACACGCATGCAACGCCGCGGTCAGAAAGTGTCAGTCTAGCAAAGGGAGGTGGCGGCGTAGCATTGTAACGCACAAGATCAGTCCGATTTCCAAGTTCGGAGATCTTCTGTGGCAGAAGGGTGGGAGTAATATTGCCTGTTCAACTGGCCTAGTGGGGGGGGGGGGGGGGGGTAGTAGGGGGCTCGGGCACAAGCAATACGCTCTGTTTCGAATGTACCCCGAGCTTGATATCATCTGAACCGAGTGATACCCATGCACAATCATTCAGAATGAATTATAGAAAAAATAATGGGGTGGCAGCCATACCAAATTCCTGCATCAAGACAAAGGATCAAAAGACAGATGCTATGCCGCATGCCCCGGCTCTGCTCTGTGCCGTCTCATTTCAACATCGCAGGATCCTGGAACTGGACTCGTGCAAGACTCAATGTCTTTTAGTCGGCTCAGGACTGGCTTACCGATTTTGGGATCCGCTTTAGCTCATAACTCACAGCCGTTTCAATATTTTTTATTCAAATAAGTTTAGACTCATTGGTTGCATCGAATCATCTGACTCATGACTCACCAAGCTTGCAAAATCGAAAGATCCTATTCAATTCTGGCTCGTTTATCATCGCTTGTATGCATATATATTCATATCTTATAAATCCTGGCTGGGATTTCTAAAACTAAGTTTAGCATTACCAATAGCGATTGCCGCTTAGCAACTACGGTTACAAAACTATGTGCTGATACTGTGAAAATCTTCATAACTAATGCTGCATGATGTTCATTTGAACGCTCTGAAATTATAGATGAATTTGTCAACGGCACGCTTTGTTTCCTTGTTACCATTTTAATTTCAGCCATGTGCCTCCCTGACACAATATTGTCCAAAGTGATTGATTGGCCCCCGATTTAGCTCATAAAAATTGCGAAGAATGTGGCTCAGCTCATGACTCAAAGCAGCATTTTTCAAGTGAGCCGACTTATCTCACGACTCACACAAAAAAAATTGACCCATGACCTGATTCATGATTCAGCTAGAGTTGAACGCATGTCTGCCTCAAACAGGTTATGATTAGAACCATGCCTTCGGCAAAAACTCCCCACAGCTCACATTATGTCCTCATAATTTATTCACTCAGCACGCAGCCGAAAGCCGTGTCTTGTGAGTCGGTATCAACGGAGATGACAAACATTAGTCCTATTGATTACGGCTCACCGTACGAAAATGTCTCGTAAAGTTTGGGACGCAAATCAAGCATGCAATCATAAACGCTTTTAACTGCCTCATCAACCGCCCGATACTCAAACCATGGGGTCAAATCGTGGCAGACATAATTTCATATCTGACAGGATAGTAAATCTCGTGCACCCAACACAAATTGTGGGTGTTGTTGTTCATTGGTGTTTTCGGGCGCGTCGACTGCATTGGTCATTTTGCGCCCATAACTATGCTGCTACTTAATTAGTACGGCGTGAAAATGACTTGAAAATCAATATCTTTTAAAAACGAAAAGAGCTGATTGGGATCAAGAAAGGAGGAACTGTCACCGAGCACATCGCTAATCGTCAGGGTCGAAGCCTGCGGACCAAAGTGACGTCGTCGTTCTTCGATGAGGCATGGACATGATATAATGACATGATGGACGGTAAGGACGACACCACACCGCTGGCATAGGGGTCTGTCGGCTCCATGCAACAGATGGCCATGGGTGGCATACGTATGCCCAATGCGCAGCCTGCATAAAACCACCTCTTCCCACCGCACACTGCGAGAGCATGACGACCACAAGCCCAACTCTATTTTTATCGCCCCGAGCTTATTGTCACCCACCTGGTCCCAACAACGCTGCAATTTGCTTCTCAGGAAGGTCTCGACTGCCGGGTAAAAATCTCTGGCAGGGATAGGCAAAAACCAGGTATATGGTGCCACCGCTGCTCGCTTAGCAGCGGCATCAGCCAGCTCGTTGCCCACGATACCGACGTGACTGGGGACCCAGCACAGCGCAATTCTCTTTCCAACCCGGTTCAACTGTGTCAGGCGTGATAAAATGTCCTGTACAAGGGGACATGATGAATAAAAAGACTTCAGTGCAGGAGAGACCGCTCAGTGAATCTGTAAAAATGGCGTGTGACGATTCTTCACCCACTTCTATGAAACATATCGCCTTGGTGATTGCAACTAATTCCGCCGTGAAAACTGACGAGTGGGCCGGTAACGAGAACGATCGAATGACGGAACCGCTGACGAAAGCACAACCCACGCCATCCGAGGTTTTGGATCCGTCTGTGTATGTCAGGGTATATCCTTCGTAACACGCCAAAAGCTCAACTGCCCCAGATCTCCAGCAAATGTATACCCTCATTCTCCTGGTTTTCCCCGAAGAATAAAGCTATTACTGCTGTCTTATTTATGCGAATAATGTTCCTCACAAATGCACCTAACAACTCACATAATCGTCCAGCTTCTGTTCATCTATGTGAATAATGCTCCTCGCAAATGCACTTAACAACTTACATAACCGTCCGCTACTGCATCCCACCATCCACCGTCGCATACTTTTAAAGGAAATGTTCCACATTTAAAGCATCGAGGATATGATCACCAAATATGATGAAAAAAGGTTACTTACAGCTATTGGAACACCTGTACTCGCAAAAGGCGGCTCTAGCCATACGATTTCACAATTTTGAAATTATACGCCTAAACACATCGTTACGTTTACATGACGTCAGAGAGGCTGCCAAACTGGCCGTGCAAAATTGACACCGTATCCGTTGCGAAACGGACGGGCTGACTCACCTGTAATAGTTCCATTTCTCGACAATGTTGTGCTAAGGGGAGCGGCGATTCCAGAACCCAAAAGGAAGTATTGCGCGCGCGCGCTTCGTCCCTTCTTTAAAGATTCAATCCGAGCCTTTTAAATGGAAGAATTTCTGTGATCAGAGCTCACGCCGAGCAGTGCTTGTTGTGTGAGCCTCAGCCCTACTATACGATCGCGCAATTCCATGTTGGCAGCAAACTTTGGTGGCGAAAGCTTACAGGGAGTGTTTCACATTTATGTGGGGGTTTGAACTGAAATAACCATCTTGAGGACATTTTCATGCTGTACACAACCCTGCTTTCCTTAAGAGTTAAGCCCCTCTTGTTTCTGAGCTACACGGTCGCAAAAATGGGGAGAGTAATTCGGGGAGAGTATTCCAAAGCCACCTTGGCATTCATGACGTCATCAGCGTCATTGAAATCCTACATTTCTCTTAGTCATGCGGCGATTAAGGCCAATACAAATACAATTGCTGAGGCGTTCATATCTGGCATTCATGAGCACGATTTCCTGCTATAAAGGCCGTCAATTGGCTCTCGATCAATGTTGTACAAGGTCATAAGGGAGCCAATACACCAGTAGTCATAATGGAGCTTGTTCCATCCTATCTGATGCTTGCTGCAACACCCACAAATGTGGAGCATTTCCTTTAATTCAAACCTTTGAAGCGGATTAGTTTTTGGGATCACAGCTCACGCTAAGCAGCGCTTGTCGCGTGAGCCTTGACCCCTACCATCAGCTCGTGCAATTTCAGGTCAACGGCAGAATATGGGGGCGAAAGTTTAAGATGCCACAATGTTCGGCGAAGTCCGCCCAGCCCTCTGACCTGTACCGCGGCCGCTGGCACCGGCCGTAGGCTGTACCTGTCAAGAGCGAATAACAAGCGCCTTGAGTGACTCGAACCCTATCCCGCGACTGGTGGAAGGATCGAAATGCGGGTGCTCTAGCCAGCTGAGCTATCGAGACGAAAAAGTGGATTGGTTAAAGTCGTATCAATTGATCGTAGGTTGCCAATTTATCAAATGAGGAAGACGTGCTACCGTTAAGTGTGTCGTGAGTACAGTACAGATTTATCAAATGGTGAAATAGTGTTGAGGAAATAGCGCTGTACCACAAAGCGTGTTACCTGTATCTTCCAATGTACAGCATTGTTTTTTGTTTAGGCGGCGTATGCTTTGATTTGAACAATATCTCAAATAAAGGACCTGAAGTTGCAGAGACCAGTATGATCTTATCGTACGATTATTTTGGGGTAATCAAAAATATCATTACTTGGGGTACGGAAACTAAAGGGGCCAGATTCCTGTGCCCAGAAAACTGGCGACAACTTGGTATCAGCCACATGGGAAGTTACCAAGTGTACACACACACACACGCACGCACGCACGCACGCACGCACGCACACACGCACACACGCACACACCACCACACACACACCACACACCACACACACACACACACACACACACACACACACACACACACACACACACACACATATATATATATATATATATATATATATATATATATATATATATATATATATATACACCGACGGATGGCTACATGAATCTGTACGTAGCTTTGCATTAAGTCCTAGAACATCAGCCTCATGAGTGTCCTTTGCGCATACTATGAATCAAACCGCGAAGTGGTTGAATTACTTAAAAAGTGTCCGTTCCGACATCAGACTTCCATGCTTTTACGTTTCCTGTTTCTAATTTACACATTCTATCAAAAAAGGACTTCGAAACACTGTTCCATCCTATAACATCTTCTATTTCTACTTCCCGACATACCAAATCACCTGCCACCCCTTTGGCCTGACGTGCCACCTATCCTTCGACTCATCACAGTCCACGGGTTACCTCACCTTCCATTCCTTGGGGTCGAGTGTGCGCAGGAAGCCGATGTCGTCCTCGAGCGCGAGCTCGCTGGCCGAGTCGTCCTCGGGCTCGAGCTCAGCCGCTGCCTCCGAGTCGCCGAGGCAGTGCGAGTTGGCGCGCGCCGAGCAGAACTGCTGGTACCGGCCGCCCACCGGCTCCACCTCGACCAGGTCGTATTCTGTAGGCGACGCAGGGCGGCGGTCGGTCGGGTGGCGCCGGCGGGGGGGCGGACGACCGGCGCCCGTGAGCGAGCGGACACGGACCGGCTCCGATCTCGACTGCTGTGCACGCACCACCCACCCACCCACGCACACACGAGGTCGACGGCAGCAGCTGCGACAGGTGAACCGGTAAGGCGTGTTAGTGTTGTGAAATGGTGCGTAACGACCATGTGAAGCTTCGGTGATATTCGCATTCGTCCGAAATATGAGTAGTTTAACCCATAACGTGGCACATGCCGTAAGCGAGAGTTTATGCTGTGAATACCGAAAATAGCAGTGCCAACAAACCATAATCATGATATGCCCGCGTATGTGATATGCATGCTAGGACTAAATGGTGGCAGAGATCAATGATATAAGGTTTTGGTGTTATACTATTCCTCAGCGGTGCCAAGCCGTTAAAGGGAAAAAAGGAAACTCCGCTTAATCCATTTGAGTCGTCAAGGATTACGAGATTTTCCGGGACGTAGTTCCTAGTATGGAAACCTAGTTACCACCCAGCGTCGCAATCGACTGGTAATCTCGTGGAAGACGAAAGCGAAGCCTGCATCGCATATCACGGCACACATGCGGTTACATGATGTTTGCTGGCTCTGACGGCATGCTACCATTCTGCAGTCTACTAGGCACAAAAATAATCGCAAACTTGCACCACGAGCGCGTTCTCGCTCAGCCCCACCATACTTTGAACAGAACGTCCATGCGACACTTATGTTTGCCTTCATTTAATGTCCCGAAAATAATGTATGGGCTAATACATCTAATGTGCGTTTTCACCACGCCAAATTTTTCTCAATACATCAGAAGAACATGCCAAACCATTCCACACAGTAATTCATGATCTATTTTGTCGCTATGTAGTATGCAGATCCGATCACTTTAAGCTAAACCAACCTTCCCAAAAACCTGTTAAGTTTAATTCGAAGAGATTTGTTATTCATTTTGCTGCCTTCGGTACCTCTGCTTTATTTTGGACTGACTCCGCACATTCTAATGATTCTGCCAAGTTTTGGTTTTGGCATGGACCGTCGGGCAGCGGGTGAGTGATAGTGGCTCAGCTAATGGAAAGTTTTGGTCTATAGCGTTATGGACAGAAATAAAGCGCAAAATGACAATATTTTAGCTGTTGGGGATATGTTCGGTCTGCAAAGCTGGTCATGAAATCCGACTTATATGCTTGTTGCAAGAAACAATCAGAACGTTTGTTTTTTTGTAAGCCAAATCAATTTAATTATGGCCGGATAATTCGGTGAAAACGTCCGGCCTAGTGCTGTCCGGGCTGCAGTACACCGTGCGGGGCACTCGCTACGCATGCTATAACTGCAATACATCCGTTTGAAACGGAGGTGATTGCGCCTCAAAACATGACTGTTTTCGTATTAACAGGTTTAGAGTTTTAAGCCTTTCAGCTAGCACACGGTTTTCAAAGGTTACTTTGGGACCACTTCTCACGGGGTTCATGTTTTTTTTCACGTATTTGTTTAGCCTGACATTTGAATACATTCAACCCAGCCATACTTATCACTTACCACTTACCTATTACACTGTCTACTGATCACTATTATTCTATTACGATCGCCATTACGTGTGGTCCCCTATGTCCGGCCAGTTTTGGCAACTGATTTCGTTAGCGAATGGTATGGACAGCTACCCGTTGGGCAACTTATTATATGCAGGTTAGTCAGCAACAGCACCCAGCCGCATTATCAACACCCCTTTCGCCATTCGATGGATCTTGTTTTTTGAAAACGCCTTGTTTAGACCGTGCTTTTACCCTCAAGAATTAAAACCGGAAAGACTTCAGTGCAGCATACTCATATTACCAGGCATCACAATGGACAGAGAACAGTGTTCAAGGCTTTGATAGGCTGTTAGCATCTCGCCTGGCATATGAACTGCACGTATACTGCAACGGCAAATATGGTTGCTAGCGAGTTTTGTGGCCCCACTAAACCACAGACAAGTCGAAACCCTAGTCTGATTGAATATGAATTGCCGTTTAACTCCGCGTAAAGTGCGCTTCGTCTACAACAGTTGCGGATCTAGCCTTCGGCGACGAAACATGTCAGCAACGCCACGCCAAATAGAGCTGATAAGTGCTGGTCGTCAATGTGCTTCCATTATGACACCTACCTAACGTCACATTTGTGAGATTTTCCTTTCTGTAGCATTTGGCTGGTCACATTGCACACGGGATGCATATGTCGGTGTGAGCAGCAATATATCTTGCGCAACCATGCATATTTTTTGGCTTCCACAAAAGGTTGCAGGCAATGTTTCGTGTGCGCTGGAAAATGCAACAATGCGCGTGCATTCAGGAGCGCATGCAGGCGACCATTAACCGCTAGGTCCGTACAGAAGCATCATGGCTGCACCACAGAGCAATAGCAACATGCGGATCGATTTCACTCATTTTAAGTGGGCATAATGGAATGCCTGGTCTGTCGAGCCACACATCGACCCGTCTGTGGCACAGCTTCTTACCGTCATCACCATTGGCGGCAATGTGCCAGCAATCAGTTCGCGAATACGCATAGAACATTTGCTGCCCACGGCCACGGGAACAATGACGCGCCAATGACACCCCACGCGAATGCCGAAGGCGCATGCGGGACGACCGTGGGGACTTGCCCCAACGCAAGCAATCCTCTCATATTTTCAACCCACACGCGGCCAAGCGGACCCCATGGAATCCTGGCGAACTGAAGCACGCCTGCCGCGGGCCTTCTAAATCACCATCATGGACAGCAACGGGCTAGCACAGTAACAGCCCTCGACGCCGAAACATTCGCCATCCATGGCAACAGAAACAGGACCATGCCACGGGCACTACGTACGACATCGCGCTGGAACACCATACGAAAGACCATGAGCTCTGCTCAGCGTCAACGGTGATCACACATATTCAGTTAACGAGGCCAGCGATAAGCAGACCTGACTGGACAAACTAGAGAGTTCTGAAGCACGTCTGTAATTCGTCAAGGCTGTGTGGCTACCGCTAGCTACTGGAAGGTGAACAGCCTGACAACCGCTGATGGTCGCGGGGTAATTCTGACCTCGCTGGATGCGGGTTGAATAGCAGCCTGACCGCCGCTAGCTGTGGGTTGAATAGCAGCATGACTGCCGCTAGCTGTAGGTTGAATAGCAGCCTGACCGCCGCTAGCTGTGGGAGCTGTGGGTTGAATAGCAGCCTGACCGCCGCTAGCTGTGGGTTGAATAGCAGCATGACTGCCGCTAGCTGTGGGTTGAGTAGCAGCCTGACCGCCGCTAGCTGTGGGAGCTGTGGGTTGAATAGCAGCCTGACTGCCGCTAGCTGTGGGTCGAATAGCAGCCTGACCACCGCTAGCCGTCGCGTGGTCACAACCTCATAACCGCTGAATGTCGGCAGGACAACAGACGGGCCTTTTTCTTTCGCTGACTGTCGGACGGCTCAGTCAGACTACCTGTGACTGTCCGCAGACCGAGTCGTACCGTCGTTGACTGCAGCAGAATGACAGTGTAGCCATCGTCGACTCTCCGCAGATTCACAGCCTGACCACAGCAGACTGTCACAAGGCATGTCCGGCTCTCGCCGACTGTTAGCATAAGAGGTCTGACCGCCACTAACTTTCGGCAGGTCGCCGCAACCACGCACGATGTCGCCACTGCTGCTGGCTCTGCTCTGTCTCGGCCCCACCGCCGCCCAGCTGTACATCCGGCGTGTTGCGACGCGCGCCACATCTCCGCTACGCGCCCACGCGGCGCTCAGTCCGGTGGGCTGCGGCACAGCGTGCGTGCGCACTGCCGGCTGCGCGCACTGGCACGTGCCGGCCGCCGGCGGCGCGTGCCTGCTGTGGGCGGCGCCGGCCACCGACAACCCCGCCGTCTCCAGCACGGACACCGTGTACGAGCTCGTCACACCGCCGCCGCCGCCGACGACGACGCCGCAGATGACGACGACAACGACCACGGCACCAACGACGACCACACCAACGACGGCGCCGCCGACGGCGGCCGCAGTGCCGGCCTGCTACAGCGCGCAGGCGGAAGGTGCGGCGTTCTGCCTGCACGCGACGCCGACGGGACCGCTTGAAGGCGTGGCCGGTCTGTGCCAGCAGGACGACGCGCGCGCTGAGCCCGCCTACCCCGACTCGGACGCCAAGGTGGCGCTGCTGCGTCAGGAGACGGCGCCGTTGGGCACGGAGCGCTTCTGGATCGGTCCGCGCTCGACGCAGCAGCCGACCGTGTTCGTGGACGGGCGCGGCGAGCGCCAAGTCACCGTGAGCAGCGCCTGGATGTACGACGGGAACACGCCGTTTTCTACTGGATGCGCGCGCTTCCAGGCCGGCCAGGGCCTTATCGTCGGCCCTTGCAACATGGGCTGGTACGGCTACATCTGCGAGATCCGCCTCTGAGCTGCCCCGGCTGGCGGGACATATGCAAGATCCGCCCCTGAGCTGCCCCGGCTGGCGGGACATCTGCGAGATCCGCCTCTGAGCCGCCCCGGCCGGCGGGCCTCTCTGGGAGCCGCGAAAAAAAAAAACAACAATAAATTGCTGCTATTAGCTTGCTTGGACCAATTTGAGTCCGAGGGCAGACTTGGGACATGTCAGAGTGAGCTGAGGCCAGCAGTGGCATTTCGCGGAATTTGCCACGTGGCTTGCCTGTCGGCCCAGCAGTGGCATGTCGCGGGGTTTGTCAGGTGGCTTGCTTGCCGGGTCAGCAGTGGCATGTCGCGGGATTTGTCAGGTGGTTTGCTTGTCGGGTAAATGTCTGGTGAGTCGAGGTATTCGAAACCAGCCTAGCCAGGACTCAACCGCGACACCCACCTAGTGAAAACAACGGCAGCGTATTCGTTGAGAGGTGATCGATTGTAGCAGAGCATGCAGGGAAATGATCGAGTATAGTGCTGGAAAACTGACCTACAGCTGGATTTGCTCTATCTGGTCAGCCCACTGTTTTGAGGACTATTGTACGA